CCTCCTCCTTTTTCCCGCTGCAGCTTGTTGAAGGACTTCTCGGCCGAGTTCCCCATTTCATTTACATTGGACAGGTCCAGCTTCGACGAGAGAAACTCGAAGACGCGTGTTCAGCCCGACAGCTTACCCGCCCCCGTGACCTCGTCAATTTTGTCGATGTCGGGACACGCCTGAGCCAGTCGACGCGTCTGGGCCCCCAGCGCTCGCGCCAGCTGGGGTCCCGCCACGTACCTGTCCTGGAGCTTGTAGCTCTTGCTGAGGAGCCCGACATCGAACTTGTACGCTAGCAGCATGTCGGGCTTCCCGTCCCAGGTCGGGACATCCAAGCGGAGGCCTCTGGTCGCGCCAGCGGCCCCGCCTCCGGGCGATGTTGCCATCGTCGTCCGTGGTCTTGTCTCTGTTGCGCGACCAATCTGAATGCCAGGGCACTGTGGCCCGTCTCACTGTCGTCGTCGATGATGACACAGAAGGAGAACCTCTTTCTCCCGCGATCTCGGCGGCGCGCTGACCGCGCCGTCTGAGGCGGAAGCTCCGCCTTATTTGTAACATCCAGCCCGCCCACTGCCGAGCCCAAACGGCTGCAGAGCGGACGGACTCGAGCAGACCCCGCACAATCAAATTCTTGGGCCATATGGGAGCCATCTTGAGGCCTCGGATGGCCATCGGACGCGAACAGGCGAGAATGCAACACACATTGATTTTCTTAGGCTTTGGAAGGATTTTGGCTTCTTCGGGGCCTCCTTGGAGAGCTCTTTGGCCACTTGGAGCTGTCTTGGGACGGTCTCGGGGCATCTCGGAGAATCTTGGGAGCCATCTTGAGGCATCTTAGGCTACTTGAGCCATCTTGGAGGTCATCTTTGGCTCTCAGAGTCCCTCTTGGAGCCGTGTTGGGCCATCTTAGACGCTCGAGCGCCTCGCCGCCCCCTTCCCGCCCAGGTCCGGGGAAAGGGGGTAGGGGGAGGGGTCAAGACTCCCTCCCCGCCCGCAAGCCGTCTCGCTCAGTCCCACCCGCCCTCCCAACACATACGTAGCACCCGAGCCTGGCCCGAGCCTCAGCATATTCAGCAGGCGTCTCTGGATGAGCAGCTACGGGGGGCGAATCCGCCGCCGCCGCCGCCTCCGCCCGCCGCCGCCGCCGCCCGCCGCCGCCGCCGCCGCGCCGCCGCCGGCCGCCGCTGCCCGCCGCCAGCGCCGCCGCGCCGCCCGCCGCCGCCGCCGCCGCCGCCGCCGCCGCCCCCGCTGCCGAATCGCCGCCGTCGCTGCCGCAGCCGCTGCCGCCGCAGTCGCTGCCGCCACCGCTACCGCTGCCGCTGCCGCCGCCGCCGCCGCCGCCGCCGCCGCCGCCGCCCCCGCCGCCGCCGCCGCCGCCACCACCGCCATCGCGGCAGCCGCCGGAGCCGCTGCCGCCGCTGCAGCCGCCGCAGCCGTCGCCGCCGCCAAGTGTACTCTATATTGTTTCTTTGACAAGGATGGTGGGGGGAGGCCGCATCGGGTTGGCCGCGCATGCTCCGAATTTGGAGGCAGAGTATGTTTTGTATTGTTTTTTGTGCAAGGGATGGTGGGGGGGGCCCTCATTGTCCCTGGTTGGCTGCCGGTCGCCTGGGGGAGGGGGTGTATATTATCAGGGAACAGTGCTCAAAACACCCACCCGCCCAAAGCCCTCTAGCTCACTCCCACCCGCCCTCCCTACACATAAGTAACACCTGGGCCTGAGCATGTTCAGCGGTCGTCTTTGGATGGGCAGCTACTGGGAACCAGGGCCGACGCCAGATGCGCGACGTTTGGGCGAGGTACGCCACGCGTGCCAGGGGCGCCACGCGCGCCAGGTACCCCTGGGGCCCGAGCGTGCCAGGCACGCCTGGTGCGCCAGATGCGCCACGTGCTCCGAGTGCGCCAGGTGTGCCGCACATTCCAGCCGCGCCAGGTGCGCCGCGTTCGGGGCACGTGCAGAGTACGTCAGGTGCGCCTGCGCACGTGACAGCACACATCGGGAAACATGTCGGCCCCCGCCATCATTGTCGAAAACCGATGCCCACCATTGTGTCAACTGGGCCTGCTCACAGCAGGCCACGCGCCACCACCCCCGTCGTCCCTATCAAAACCACTTGACAGTGATCGCGGGATGGCCGCGCATGATCCAGATTTAGCCGCGAGGTGCATGTTGTATTGTTTTTTTCCTCATGGATGGTAGCCCTGCGCACAGCAGGGAATATGCTGGCACCTCCGCTGACATGACTCAAGACTTTGCCCCAAAGTGTATGTTGCATTGGTTTTTGAGAAGGTTGGTGGGGGGAGGCTCATCGGGTTGGCCGCGCATGCTCCAAATGTGGAGGCAAAATGCGCAGTGTCTATGGTTTCTTGACAGGGATTCTGGGGTGCGGGTGGGCATGGTGTCGGCATGGTGCCTCGTTGGCCCCCGGTCGCTTGGGGGAGGGGGTGTATATTAATAAGGAACAGTGATAACCCCCTCCCCGAAGGGGATGAAAAGGGGTCGGAAGAGGAGCCTCCTTAGACCACCTACGCCAAGAGGGCTGGTAGGATTTTCTTGTAAACTCTATTTTTTTGGAGCTTGTCTCTTGGGAGCACTGGGCGCCGGACCATGTGGCAACGCGTGTTGCGACATGGTTCGGCGCACACAACTATTCGGGAAAGCATTGTCAATCCGATGCTCTCAAATAGTTAACATGGGAAGCGCTTTATACTCCGACTATGACGTATGCAATCGAGATATTATGATCACTATTTCTTTTGGGCAAAGGATGCAGCAAATACTTCTCTTGGTAAGGCCTGGCATCTTCAGGCCAGAATGTCGCGTAAGTATTGAAGCATGAGTTCAGGTGTCAGACGCGTGCATCCCCACATTTAAACATGCAACGTGCTGAACATATTGGGGATCCAGTTTCGGATGCAGCATTTTCTCGGGAGCACGGTTGAGCTCGATCATGGAAGATGCTTATAGATCACCCAAGGAAGGGCTACCCTAGGGCTACCCCTAGGCCTACCCCTAGGGCTACCCTAGGGCTACCCCTAGGGCCTACCCCTAGGGCTACCCTAGGGCTACCCTAGGGCCTACCCCTAGGGCTACCCTGGGGCTACCCCTAGGGCCTACCCCTAGGGCTACCCTAGGGCTACCCCTAGGGCCTACCCCTAGGGCTACCCTAGGGCTACCCTAGGGCCTACCCCTAGGGCTACCCTAGGGCTACCTCTGGGGCCTACCCCTAGGGGTACCCTAGGGCTACCCTAGGGTGTCCAGTAGGGCCTATCCTTGGGAAGCCTAGGGCCTTCAGTATGTGTAATCCGCCACACAAGCAAGCAATGCCTTTAATGTCCCGCCCGCCCGCCCGACAAAAGGAATCAGCTTGTAATCCGCCATAATAGTAATCAACTTGCAATCCGCTGCCAAATGGAATCACTTTGTAATCCGCCACGAAAGCAATCAATGCATTTAATGTCCCGCCCGCCCGCCCGACCAAAGGAATAAGTTAGCAATCCGCTGCCAAAGGGAATCCATGTGTAATTCACCACACAAGCAATTATTGCCTTCAATGTCCCGCCCGCCCGCCCGGCAAAAGGCGCCCGACCAAAGGAATAAGTTGAAAATCCGCTGCCAAAGGGAATCCATTCGCAATTCACCAAACAAGCAATCATTGCCTTTAATGTCCCGCCCGCCCGCCAGACAAAAGGAATCAATGTGTAATCTGCCACAATAAGAATCAGTTTGCCATCCGCCACACAAGCAATCAATGCCTTTAATGTCCCGCCCGCCCGCCCGACAAAAGGAATCAGCTTGTAATCCGCCACAAATGGAATCTACTCGTAATCCGGTACCAACGGGAAGCAATTGGTAATCCACCACACAAGCAAGCAATCAATGCCTTTAATGTCCCGCCCGCCCGCCCGACTAAAGGCATCAACCCTAGGATAGACCGGTGAGGGGGGGTCTGTGAGGGGGGGTCAGCGAGGGGGGGGGGGTCAGCGAGGGGGGGTTCTGTGAGGGGGGTCCCAGAGGGGGGGTCAGCGAGGGGGGGTCCCAGAGGGGGGGTCAGCGAGGGGGGGGGGGGTCAGCGATGGGGGGGTCAGCGAGGGGGGGTCCCAGAGGGGGGGTCTGTGAGGGGGGGTCTGCGAGGGGGGGTCAGCGAGGGGGGGTCCCAGAGGGGGGGTCTGCGAGGGGGGGTCTGCGGCGCCGGGGCCGCGGTCGCCGGGGGGCGGCGCGGGCGCCCTGCCCTCGGAAGGGGGAGCGGGGGGGGGGGAAGCAGGGGATCGAGGGAGTAGCGAGGGAGGAGGAGGAGGTGGAGGAGGAGGAGGAGGAGGAGGAGGAGGAGGAGGAGGAGGTGGCGGCGGAGGAGGAGGAGGCGGCGGGAGCAGGGGGGAGGGAGGAGGCGGGCGGACGGAGTGAGGAGGGAGGAGGGAGGAGGCGTGCGGAGGGAGGAGGGAGGAGGGATGCTGCCGGCTCGGATTCCCGCTACAAAGGGGTCCGGCTACCCCTGGGGCCCACCCCTAGGGCTACCCTAGGGCTACCCCTTGGGAAGCCTAGGGCCTTGGGTAGGGCCTACCCTTGGGAAGCCTAGGGCCTTGGGTAGGGCCTACCCTTGGGAAGCCTAGGGCCTTGGGTAGGGCCTACCCTTGGGAAGCCTAGGGCCTTGGGTAGGGCCTACCCTTGGGAAGCCTAGGGCTTTGGGTAGGGCCTACCCTTGGGAAGCCTAGGGCCTTGGGTAGGGCCTAGGGTAGCCAAGGCCCCCGGTGATCTATACCGGAAGATGGGGAAAGAGCAGAAACATATGATTAGTATGGAAGGCCAGGGCGAGGAGGGGGGCGAGAGGGAGGATGGGGAATCGCAAGAAGAGGGGGGGAAGGAGGAGGAGGAGGAGGAGGACGAGGAGGAAGAGGAGGAGGAGGAGGAGGAGGAGGAGGAGAAGGAAAGGAGGAGGAAAGGAGGAGGACGCGGACGTGGAAGGGGACCAGAAGATGAGGACGAGGAGGAAGAGCCCCTCGCCCCGGAGGACGAGAACACCTTCTACGCTGGCGCTGGCTCCAACACCTCAGGCGGATCCTCTGGCTCCCCAGTCATCGACCGCAACGGGGCCCTCTGGGGGGGCCGGCCTGGCAGAATGAAGGGTCGGGGTGGACGGGAGTGGGGGAGTTCGGGAACATGTGTGTGTGTGTGTGTGCGTGTGTGTGTGTGTGTGTGTGTGTGTGCATGTGGGTGTGCGGAAACATGCTGTATGCAGCTGCACGTGACTCGGTCTATTGCCGCCTCGGGTGCTGGGAGGGTCTTGGAACGCCAGTCTCAGCTGCATGGTGGATTCGCTGTCCCCCATGTTCGAATTCCTTCTTCCGTCCACCCCAGAAACGGAGAGCACGGAGGGAATCGTGGGGAAACAGAGCACGGAGAGCACGGAGGGAATCGTGGGGGGGTTTTCCAGAGGGGCCTCGTAACCTTGTCAAAACAAGGAGTGCGAAGCCCCTGGGGGACCCCTCCTGGAAAACCCTCTCCCCCAAAACCCCCTTTGGAACCCTCTGGGAGCAGTGAAAGGAAGATGGGGCTGCGGCGTTTTTTTTGTGGTATGCACTTGGTAAGCTTTGACCGGATGGCTCCAGGGGCCGACCTTTGATGCAGGAGTTGAGTGAGTGAGTGGGTGAGGAAAGTCAAGCAGTGGCGAAGCGTCCAGGCGTGCCTTACCAAACAATGTTCTAAGACTTTTTTGTGGTTTCCACAATGTGTTCTAAGAACATTATGGCTGGGACTGTCTTGTTTTCACATATCGGGTTTATGTTCTAAGAACTTTGTTTTTTGGTTTTAGAACATTGTTGGGTTCTAAGAACATGTCGTGGTAGGCCTGTAGAATGCCGGGACGGTCGGCCCCTGCTCAAGAAAGGAGGGAGGGAGTGAGTGAGGAGTGTTTTTTTGCCTGGGCGAATACAACGTGACGCCAAACTGGGCACGGGCGAGCATTTCTTGGCAGATCTGCCACACGTCATAGCTTCTCTCAGCAGGGCATCGGGCACACGTGTGCAAAGAGGAAGCAGGCACAAGCTGAATCCGCCCTCTGGCTTCCTATTGTTGGCTAACCCTCAATAGCGCCAGAATGACCGCCGTGCCTCAGGGAGATATCATATAACGGGGAACCGAGCCCCGGGTCTCCTCCTCCGCCTCCGCCTCCGCCTCCGCCTCCGCCTCCCGTCTTGGCATTATGCTTTCGAGGGAGGGGGGCACAAACTCATCTTGGGATTCTCGGCATCCGAAGGCGGAGGGATTTGTTGGGGAAGTGCACAAACAAATTTTGCAGCAAGCACGCGAGTTGGGAGGCGAAGGCCTCGCGCTTTCGCTAGAGGTCCTTGTTCTTCACTGATGTGCGATTGCCACTCGTAGTACCCCATCCAGGATAGATTGCGCTCGGCCAGAGCTTGGGAGGACCAGCACTTACGCAAATCTGTCGGTCAGAAGTTTCGTCTCCACGAACGTGTCCAAGCTTACAACATCAGGACCGCTCGTCTATTGGAAGGTCGCGTCGCTGTATGGGGGATCCCGCAGGCACATCACCAGTGGTTGCGCCATGCTCACAGATGACGTAACAATCTTACGAGCTGTGTTGGGGAGCGTCTCGGTCGGGCCAGCAAGAGCTTCCTTTGTGGATCATGTCTACATACAGGCGGGGCGCGCAACTGGTTGGTCAGAACGAGGCTCGCCACTCCGAGGCCGTGCGTCGAGATGTGGATGGGGAGTGGCGATACGGTCGTCCAGGGCCACCGCCACCACGACTTGAAGATTTTTGCGACAAGCATGTTCCGCATTGTATTGACTTTGTCTCTGACGTGTCTTCCGTTTTGAAACGTACCGAGGCAGACTTTCCGGATCAGGTGTGCTATGCAAGGAGCTCGCCCCGACTGAATCGGGATCCCGCAATGGCAAGCGACGCCGCCAGGCGAGCTAGTTCGTCACGCCCAGTAGGGGGAGCGAACCTCGAGAACAACTCTAAGTCGAATCGCCGGGGTCAGAAGAGGAGTCGCGCCGAATCGAGCAGTGGCAACACGCAACGCTTGGGAACCGACTGGCCGTTGGCGAAACGTCTGCGTGGGCTCGCAGGCACCGAGCCCGACCTCGGAAATTTATTCATCATTTAGCCGACCCCGTTCCTTCTATCTCAGATTTTTTCTCGCATCCGCCCCTGCAACCCTCTTCTCTGTTGTCTTTGGCCCGCCCCCCCTCCTCCTCGTCCTTCCTTTGCGTCGAGGGCAACCAACCCTCGCCCAGGCGCTTGCTGGTTAGCCTTCTGTACACTGTGAGAACATCCTGAAGCTGAATAGTGTAGCTAAATTGGTTTTTCACTCCCTCGTGAGATAGGTGGGTTCCCCCAGAGCCCCTGGGTGCTCAAAAGTATGGAGGCCACACGGCCAAAACGCGGAAGCCGATGCCTTGTGTGATTTCGCGATGATTTCCCAGGCGGATTTTCTATATTGTTCCCTTCCTGGAGCAAGGCTGGGAAGTCCTTGCCTTCGGAGTGTTTTGTGATCAAAGTCTCGATGATTCTTTTGCTGCGGAGGTGGCAGGCTTTTCCAACGTGCCCACGATTCCAGTTTCTGGTGAAGAGCATAGAGTCATGCATGAATATGTCCGTCCATGGCATCCTTTGCAATACTTATTTGCAGTGGTTCCATCGTCGTTCACAGAAGCTGCGAGGCAGCATTTGATTCATAGCCTGGCCCACAACGGTAAAACACACACATAGCTAGGTATACACAACATTTGCATGCACATAACCATACGTATACTTATACGTTCAATTATACTTGTAAGTACATGTTTACGTACATGTATACGTATACGTGTAATTTTCATTGTGCATACAAGTTATCGTAAACGTAAGCTTATACTTATACGTATCCGCTTAAGCTTCACCAGACGTAACACAATAACTGATCGTGCACGCCTATGCATACGTACAACTATACGTTTACGTGTACGTACAATTATATGTACATTCATTAGTATACTTATACTCTTAATTACAAGTATATGTATGCATTTACGTATACGTATTACGTATATGTTTAAGTCTGAGTGTAAATACACGTACACTTATACGTAAACATACACGTACATGTGTACATATACGTGCAATGATACATGTACGTATGTATATATATATACAGGCATGTCCATGTCCACACATGGTATACATATAGACATTTTCACATATATATATATATAGATGCATCGTTATATGTATATATTTATATAGATTTGTACATATATATGTATATACACACATGTTTATCATCTACCAACCTGGCCCCAGGTGATCTCGGGGCCAAACAACACCAGGGGCACCCACGATAAATTAAGTACCCGCTCTCCTCCCAGAGACTCCGCCTCCCCGTGGTCTTGCGGAGGCTTCCCTGAGCCTTCCCCGAGCCTTTCCCGAAACCAGGGGGCACACGGTAGAAGTTCCGGACGTCCCAGATGGCTTCGTGATTGCCGGCCCACGATGATTTCAAGACGGCCCCAGAGGTCCCCAAGCCGCCCGAAGACGGCTCCAAGAGAACCCGCTCGAGTGCCCCGGGCAACAAGCATCGGTTCCGAGGGGCCCCGAAAAGCGCCACAAGGCCGCCGAAAGGCCCCCAAGAGGGCCCAAGAAATCCAGCATGGCCCCAAGACGGCCCAGGAGGCGCCGCAGACGGCTCCAAAGCGCTTCAGGATGGCCTCAAGAGGCCCAAAAGAGGCCCCTAAAGCGCCCCCCCCTGAGCGTCCCTCCGATCACCCTCGGCGCCAAGGTGGCCCCCGCAGCATCCCTGCGGTCTCCAAGAGGCCCTCAGTGTCCACCAAGAAGCCACCAAGACGCCGCCAAGAGGCCCCCAATACACACGCCCAACTGGCCCTCATGAGTGCCCCGAGCGCCCCCCGTAGAGACTACAATATACTTCTTGCACGCCGCAAATCGAAGACACCTCCATCCCCGAAGGTACAAGCAGCAAACAGCAAGTATACGAGCGCTCTCCCCCTCACTCCTCCTCATCCTTTTTTCTCCTCCTCCTGCCTGCTCTCCCTCTCCCCCCCACCCCTCCCTCCTCTTCCATGCTTCCTCCTCCCTTTTCCCTCCCGTCTTCCTCCTCTCACACTCCTTTGCTCTCTTTCATGTCCTGCTGCCCTCTCCTCCCTCCACCCTCCTCCATCTCTCTCCTTCCGCTCTCACCTCCCTCCCTCTTTTCTCCTCTCCCCTTCTCCTCCTCCTCCTCCTCCTCCTCCTCCTCTTCCTCCTCCTCCTCCTCCTCCTCCTCCTCTCTCCTTCCTGCTCCTTCCTTGTCCTCCTTTTCCCCACTCCCTCCTCCCCTTCCCCCCCGCCTCCCTCCTCCTGTTTCTCCAGTTTCTCCATCAGCCGAGGATCCGCGGTGCCGAGGCGGCGCAGAACCTAGGCCAGAAAAGGAAGGGGGGGGGGGAGAAAAAAAAGTGAGAGAGGACCCTGACCGAGGCGGTGCCCTCCCCCGCCTGGGCCACCGCTGAAGGGACCCGAAGTCATCCTTCAGTGGTGACCCTGGCAGGGGAGCCAACGCCTCCGTGAGGCTCCTGTGGGGGCCCCTCATGACTCGAAGACTCAGCCGAGGATGGGGGCGTCGCCTCCGCAAGGCGGCCTGCCCCTCTCTCGGTCCAAAGCGGGACGCTGCGGCCGTAACTCGCACGAGTGGTGGGGTCCACACCTTGCCGCAACATCTCCAGAGACTTGCTTGTAGCGTCATTTCGGGGCCTCCCAAAACAAACTTCAGCCAACACATTCATTCGGTGCCTGGCATAGCTGCCGCACCTGGAACACCAAATGATTGGGAGGGCAGCACCAGCCCCACAATCGATGCGAGCGACGAGCCTGGCGGCAAATCCTGGGCGAGCCTGAGCACTTGAAGCTGGCCAGGTGGGTCCAGCTCCGCCCTCGGTCGAGACAGATCGCACACAACCAGCCTTTCCCCCAACGCCCCAAGACATGCCCATTGGGGTCAGGGCAGAGGATGAGCTGGGTCCCTGGAGGACGGGGCTTCTTAGCCACGACCTTCGAAACGTCACGAAACTTGGGCCTCCCTGCAACCTCGAGCA